AGATGGCAAAAGGAATGAAGATACACAGTAAATTTAGTTCCCAGTAAAGATGTTTGCTTCAGTTTAATTATCAGCTTATAAAACTACAAGGATGATGTTAAAATACAAACAGTTGTATGTTATTTATCGTGATATTTATCAAATATTGTTATATATTGAGAAAAATATATATTTACCGTAAATCCTCTAATACAGGCCGGTATTCAATTAAAGGCCGGGTCTCCAATTTTGGCCGGTGTCGGAGTCAACAGAGGTAAATAATGGCCGGTCTCTTATTGTGGCCGGATGGAATGTGGTAACAAGCAAGTATGAGCGTCCCAGCGGCAGGGTTATAGTCCCCAAATCAACCAGCAGGAGGCAGTAGAGGTTCACGCAGACCTTTGTTGGGCTTTTTCTTCAACGCTTTGTAACGCTACAGACACGATCCTCTATCACGCTCCTACCACACAGAGTCACGGTGTCAGTTAACCATGCTAATTCAACCCCTCCACAGAACACACATCACCTTCCCTGTGGCTTACATAACACTCACACAACACGCAAATCAGCACATAGGAACTAGCAGAACGATAGGAAACACATATAACACAATACCCAGAATGCACCTGGCTTACAACCCCAGCCAGGCCATTACACTATCAAGTTCAAAGAGAACGTGCTGATTATGCTGCAGAACACTCTGGAGAGCAGCAGTAGGGGTTGTATGAACTAGTCAACTTCACTATACAGTAATCCCTCGCTACTTCGCGGTTCGTTCATCGCGGATTCGCTGCTTCGCGGATTTTTTCTTTGGAGCATTTTTCAGGGGGAATTCGCAGATTCGCGGTATTTTTCACTGATTCGCGGTATTTTTCTATGCGAAATATCAAGAAATTCTTGTTTTTTTAATCAATTTCATCATAAAATGCACTTTTTGTAATAAAACTAAAAAAAACAAGTAAAAAAAAATTTTTTCTTGAGTTTTACCCACAAAAAGAGAATGTGATCATACGATAATTCAATAGGGAGCGTGGTTTCACAGACGCGGAAGTGAGAGCGTCGGTGAAACGCCGGCTGATCTAGGAAACCCCCGAGCGTTCGAGCGTCAACGAAGTGACACGGAAATGCCGGGCTTTCCAGAAGTAATTAAGATAACTTATGAGCTGATAGTTCGTTGGATTGATCGGTAGGTTGGAAACTCTGATCATGAATCTGAAGAAACGATGACTGAGTGGTGAACTGGAAAGGCGACTTCCGTTTATAGCCGCGGTTTGTGACGTAGGTGCAACATGGAGGGAATCCCCGCGAGGGGCATGCTGGGAGTCCCTACTTCGCGGATTTTCACCTATCGCGGCCAGGTCTGGAACGCATCTACCGCGATAAACGAGGGATTACTGTAGTGACTTTTTATGCCTGTCGTCGACTAGTCGCTGTCACGTGATAATGACCGGCAAGATGCAGCCCTTGGAAAAGACAGCAGCCTGTCAGCAGGTGACAAGCTCCTGCGCTGGGGGGGGGGGGGGGGGGGGGGGGGGCAACGCGCTGTGGCAGACCGTAGGTACTGACACGCGATCGTTCATGTCGGTTCATTTCCTTTAATGTTTTCTGTCTTTTATTTGCGCCTGATGTGTATCGCTGCTGTGGAGCGGGGCGCATCAACTTGTCCTCCGATGCACACATCACTGATGCGGCCGGCAAGCAGGGAGCGCTCCGCTGTTTTCGCGGTCGGTAGATCTGCCTCCTGAGCATGGCCACAGTAGCAATCAGGTGTCGCCACCTCAAAAACGAAATTTACACGCGATCGTTCATGTCAGTTCATTTCCTTTAATGTTTTCTGTCTTTTATTTGCGCCTGATGTGTTTCGCTGCATGCTGTGGAGCGGGGCGCTGCCCGCATCACGTTGTCCTCCGACGCACTGATCACTGATACGGCCGTCAAACAGCGAGCGCTCCGCTGTTTTTGCGGTCGGTAGATCTTTTAGAACTGCAGTTCAAAGGTAACTCATGAGGTGAATATATATGAAGCCAGGTAGCAGTTTTTCTTTAGGATTGAGAGGAGATGCAGGAAGATAATAAACAGACAGGACAGAAAAATAGTCAAATAAAAACAAGTTAGTTTTTGTACCTGCTGGTTGCAACAAACAGACACCATTGAAGGTCATCAGAAGTGAGGAACAGAAAATGAAATAATTATTTTAATGTTTAGAGCAGCAGGAACTCCGAGAGGCTGCAGGCGCAGGCTGCAGGCGCATCAGTGAGTTTGCGGCCGCTGCGCAGGGGGAGGGGGGAGAGGGCTGAAGCAGGGGGAGGGGGGAGATGGCTGAAGCAGAAACTATGTTGTTAAAAGAAATGTGTTTAACTTTGAAAATGTGGGCGCAATTTTAATTGTCAAAAACTCCAGCGAACCATTAGTTCATTTTGCTCAATTAGAAATAGAGGCCTGCCTCTAATACTGGCCCTCCTTCCAATAAAGGCCTGGAGCTTGATGAGCTTGAGTCAAATACAGGCCCGGGCCTGTATTAGAGGATTTACGGTAATTATAAAAGAGAATTAAAATAATAAACACTCAAAAGTATCAAAAATTGGTACAGTTAAGTGCCGGTATCGATTCGTAGGTACCGGGAATTAGTACCGGATCGATTCAAATGTCAAAGGTACCCATCCCTATATTTAATAGACCCATGCGAGGTCTATTAAATATAGGGTGAGTGAGGTGGAGGAATCAAAAACTACAGAAACAGCTGGAGTTGGTGGACGTAAATTAGCGGGGTTAGATCCACGATGTTTATAAAAACCACTTATGGAGGGAACAGGAGGAGAAACCACTGAAGAATAAGGATAACCAGACCTTAAAAAACTTGGACGGAGAAACCACGCCGCAACGCAGCCTGGTGAGAATACGGAAGTGGCGCTCATGTCGCCAAACAAAGGGCAAGAAGCTAGAAGATCACGCCGATGTTTACTAGATAAACCACGCTTTAAGAGAAGTCTTATTCTCACCTGGATTCCTGCTTGTTTACCTCTTTTCCTCCGACATTTTCCCGGGACCGGATAAACATCGCTGGAGGCGTTCTGTTAGGAATCATCGTTTGGCACCGGGCCAGCACGCCGCTCAGGTAAACAAACGGAGATATGTCTTCGGTGCGTCTTGGGCGATCGTGAACGAACGGAAGGACAAAACAGTCTGGCGATCATAGGAGATGGTGGCAAGGACACTACTGAAGAGGATCGCAGTCAGGAGCAAGGTGGAAAAGAGGGGGTTAGTGGAGAAAAGTTTGAGAAAGTGGTCAGTGACAGCGGCTTGTATTTTATTTGAAAATGTCTTTGTCTTTATTCATTCTGTGATATTTTTTATTTCATTGTTTAGAAAAAGAACCATAACATAAAAACTATTTGCATTTATTTAAATACATAAAGAAAATAAAATGTAATTTATCATTTATAATTTATACTAACATTTATTCTACACTACTTAGAATTATTTGTTCTACAATTTATTTGGTATGTGAGATTGGTCAGTGTTACATGTATAAGCAGAAGAAAAGAATATATCGAGATATATATCGTTATCACATGTGCTTCAAAATGTATAGCAATATAGATTTTAGGACACATCACTCTTTCCTACTATGGGGTATTGTGAAGAGGAAGATGCAGTAAGCCGGAGCCAACAATTCAGAAGAGCTGAAGGCCACTATCAGACCAACATGTGGTGCTTACACATTAGCGTCGGTACGGTCAGGGTTTGGTGGGGCTGGAGAAAGAAATAAACATTTGAAATATATCAGTTTGTTTGTAATGAATGAATCGGATATACAAGTTCAACTTTTTGAATGTAGTTACTGAAATAAATCAACTTTGTTGTGATATCCTAGTCTTATGACCAGCGCAGGTATGGAACTAGGATCGGGACAATATTACATGTAACTTGCACCAAGCTTTGTAACCTGTAACATGTTTTGTAACTGTAACTTTTGTTTTGTAGCATGTAATTCTTGTTTTGGAACATGTAATCTTTGGTACGTAACATGAAACTTTAATTTTGTTACTTGCAGAAAACGGTCATTGTTCAAGTTTCAAATCACAAGTCTCAAAACACACATCTCAGTCTACATTTACAAAACTTAAGTCTACAAGTACAAAACATTTAGTCCCAATTCTAGCTTCCTTCCCAACGAACCAATGACAGGCTAAGACTGACCAGCCAATCATGAGTCTTGGATTCCTGTCAAAGATAATTCCTGTTGGAAGCAAACTAGAATTGGGACAAATGTTTTGTACTTGTAGACTTGAGTTTTGTAACTGTAGACTGAGATTTGTGTTTTGAAAGTTGCAATTTTAAAATTGGACATTGATTTATTCTGCAAGTTACAAAATAAAAGTTTCATGTTATGTATGGAAGTTACATGTTACAAAATGAGAATTACATGCTAAATAAAGTTATATGTTACAAAACAAAAGTTATGTGTAACAAAACATGAAGTACATGCTACAAAACAAAAGTCAGTTACAAAATAAGTTACAAGTTGAATGTAATATTGTCCCAATCCTAGTTCCATACACATGTATTTGTAAGTTTAGGTCTACCTTCTGATAAACAGTTATCTTTGTCAACAGCATGACCTTACATCAGAGGAAAATGGCATTCTATTGGCCTGCAAATATACTTTGAGTGCAGAACATCGCAAATCAGGAGTTTAATCAATAGCATTTTGTTTGAAATAACTATTTAAAATCAATCTGTGAAGGGGAGTTGTAGAAACTAGAAGGTATTATATATATAAATGCAGGCTTTTTACCAAAGTTTGAAATAGTCGAGGTGTTAAAAAATCTGATTAATTCTATTAATCCTAAATTTCACTTCAGATAAAAAAGTCACTCAATTCAAAAGTTATTTCATGTTCTCTGAGTTAGTTCTGATCTCACCTACTTAAACCAATAATTCAACTGTTTATTAATATATGTGTAAAAATAAAGTTACAGAGGTTATTAATTCACATCATGTGTTTCTGGTTCCCACAGATGTTCACCAGGTGGTTAAAGAAGAAGCTCCTGAAGATCGGAGTGCTGGTGTGGACCAGCAGGACCCAGAACAGTTCCACATAAATGAGGAAGAGGAGGAACTCTGGACCACTCTGGAAGGAGAGCAGCTCCATTTGAAGGAGGAGACTAATCCTGCCAGGTTTCCATTCACACCAGTTTCTATAAAAAGTGAGGACAATGAAGACAAACTTCTGTTCTCACAGCTTCTTCATCAGCAGCAAATAGAAGACAGAGATGTTCCAACCAGCAGCTCAGCTGAGCAGACAACAGCAGAAACTGGTAGAGGAGCAGAATCTAGCAGGAACCCAGTTCTGAACCCTAATGAACAGATATCTGATTCTTCAGAGACTGAAGTTAGTGAAGATGATGTGAATCTAAACGTTGAGTTTTTAAACTCTGGGCCTGAAACTGGAGATGGAGACAATGACAGCAATGAAAGGAGGTCTTCTGAGTCAGATGTTAAGACCGTCAACAAATCCTTTAGCTGCCCGAGTCATTCAGCAATAAGGTCTTCAGGATGTTTGGATAATAAGAAAACCGTTAGATTAAAGCAAAATGTGGACTCATACAGGAAAGTCCAGAAAAAAACAAAATTATTTATTTGTGACATTTGTGGGAAACATTTAAGTCACAATAAAAGTTTTAACAGTCACATGAAAGCCCACACAGGACAGAAACCTTTTGTCTGTGAGTTCTGTGGGAAAAGCTTTAATCAAAAAACACATTTAAACAGACACACAAGAGTCCATACAGGACAGAAACCTTTTTCCTGTGAGCTCTGTGGGAAAAGCTTTAATCAAAGGACAAATTTAAACACTCACATGAGAGTCCACACAGGACAGAAACCTTTAGCGTGTGGACTCTGTGGCAAAAGCTTTAATCAAAGGGCGTCTTTAAATAATCACATGAGAGTCCACACAGGACAGAAACCTTTTGCCTGTGAGCTCTGTGGCAAAAGCTTTAATCAAAAGGCGTCTTTAAATAATCACATGAGAGTCCACACAGGAGAGAAACCCTTTGAGTGTCAGCTTTGTGAAAAAAGATTTAGTGATATGTCAACATTAAACAGACACATGAGAGTCCACACAGGACATAAACCTTTTGCCTGTGAACTCTGTGGAAAAAGCTTTAATCGAAGGACAACTTTAAACAGTCACATGAGAGTCCACACAGGACACAATGAATGTATTTAAAGTGCAAGCGCTGACTACGGTTAAAACTAATGAAAAGTCCCAAATTCAGTATCTCAGAAAATTTAAATATCAATAAAGACCAATGCAAAATAAGGATATTTAGAAATGTTGGCCTGCTGAAAAGTGCAGCAATATGGAGTGGCTTTCTAATCAAAATTTGTGAAGAGCCCTGAGATGGGATGTGGAGCTATATCAATAAACTTGTATTGGATTGAACTTTTGGAGTTTAATCATCATTCAGGTGTTCTGAGTGAGCTCTATTGCCCTTTTAGGTAAAACAGCTGTTACAGCTTGTTGGGAGATATCTTACAGTGTTTATTTGACTTTTTTAAATTTGACTTTGATTATTCTTTAGTTTCATGAGACGTTTCACTTAGATTACCGTTGACTTTGCTACTAAGTGTTGGTTCTAGATCTTAGCAACGATCTTTATGCTTCCTGCTTTGTTTCTTCTTATTGTCATCAGAATTAAAAGCTTGAATCCAGGACTGTTTTCTCATTGTGTGATAAGTCTCTAATAAAATCCCACAACACTACACCTGCTGTCTCCCACTGCACACTCACCTACTCAGCTCTGTGACTACCTCTGTTGGCTCTCAGGTGGATTAGTGGAGGATTATGGAACTAGGATTGGGACAATATGGCATTTAACTTGTACCAAGTTTTGTAACATGCTTTGTAACTGACATTTCTTTTGTAGCATGTAATTCACGTTTTGTAACACGTAACTTTCATTTTGTAACAGGTAACTTAGTTTTGTAGAATGTATTTCTCATTTTGTAACATGTAACTTCAGTACGTAACATGAAACAATTATTTTGTAACTTGCAGAAAAAAATCAATGTACAAGTTTCAAATCTCAACTTTCAAAACACAAATCATAGTCTACAGTTTAAAAATTCAAGTCTACAAGTACAAAACATTTAGTCAAAATTCTAGCTTGCTTCCAACAGGAATTGTCTTGGACAGGAATCCAAGACTCATAATTGGCTGGTCAGACTTAGCCTGTCATTGGTTCTTTGGGAAGGAAGCTAGAATTGAGACATAATGTTTTGTACTTGTAGACTTAAGTTTTGTAATTGTAGACTTAAGATGTGTGTTTTGAGACTTGTGCATTGATTGTTTTCTGCAAGTAACAAAATGAAAGTTTCATGTTGCGTACCAAATGTTACATGCTACAAAACGAGACTTACTGTTACAAAACATGTTACGGGTTACAAAGCTTGGTACAAGTTACATGTAATATTGTCCCGATCCTAGTTCCATAGATGATCAGCTCGGAGAGCCCATTTCACCTCTGGACTTTCACACAGAACACCCAACAAAAGCTCATCATTCAGGAGCAGCTTGGAGGTGTTGTGTGAACAGCTGTTAGGAAACAGGGACAGTTTATCAAAGTCAAAGTTGTGACTGCAGAGCTGCTGAGATGTTTACCTGCTTTAGTTTCTTCACTGCCTGCTGAGGCTCAGCTTGTTTCATGAAGTGGTTCTGCTCTGGTCTGGAAAGGAAGAACATCCCATAATTTAGAGGCAATGGCTGAAAAGGCTCAATCGGCTGTTTCATTTGGTGGTGGGGACATCCAGAACAGCTGAGATGTTGACCTCGGCACTCTGACTGGATCATGATGCTGCAGCTAATCAGACACATTTGTAGCGTTAAGGAGTGACTACATATGTAACAAATGATCGATAAGATGTGATAATTCCATATAAACATGAAATATCAATCTGACTGACCTTTCATGGTTTAATCAGAAAATTAGTTACTTTTACTTATTCAGGGACCATAAACACACCTCATATTAATTCAGACAAAGTCATGTATTTAGTTCATAAAAATTTATTTCTATTTCCCTGAACTAATGATTATACAAGACAAGGTATGAATGAGGATGTAATGTAATGGATACGAAGTGATTTAATGTGAACTGTGGAATTCTGGAATGGAAGCTAGATGTTTTAGCACAACCTTTCTTAAGGATCAGAGAGAGCTTGTGAAGTCTGGGTTGTAAAAGAATTTGGCTGTCTGTTTGGTACACTAGAGATTGGTTTATAAAACCATCCGACACCAGTGTGCAGCTGACAATACCCTTTGTATGTGTTGCTCCCGGCGGTCCGGAGGAAAGGCAGCTCAAGTGGTGGGTCACTGGACTTCAAGACCACCAAGAACCCAAAGAGTCGTAGCCCCCTTGATTTCAGCTTTCACCGGCCATGAGATGCAACCAGGGCCCTGCAGGTTAGATGTCTGTCTGAGGTGTGGAGTGGCTCTTAGAAGAGTTGTTGTGTCTGTAATCACTCGCAGAGTTGCAGAGAGGCTTTGACTTGATGTCAAAAGAAAAGATGGTTTCAAAAATGCTTTTGTGGGAGCCAAATCTTAGGTGGGAGCCATCCATCAGCTCCCTGCTCAAAAAGGCCCAGCAGAGGATGTACTTTCTGCGGCAGTTGAAAAAGGCCAAGCTGCCGGCCCAGATGATGGTGCAGTTTTACACGGCCATCATTGAGTCCATCCTCACCTCCTCCATCGCTGTGTGGTATGCTGGAGCCACAGTGAGGGACAAACATAGACTGCAGCGCATTGTGCGCTCTGCTGAGAAGGTGATTGGCTGCAGCCTTCCATCTCTCCAGGACCTGTACGTCTCCAGAACTCGGGGGCGTGCAGGTCGGATAGCAGCTGACCCTTCGCACCCGGGTCACAGACTTTTTGAGCCGCTTCCCTCAGGCAGGAGGTTACGGTCCATCCGGACCAGAACCTCCCGCCATAAGAACAGCTTCTTTCCATCTGCCGTTAGACTTGTGAATAGATTATAAACACACAACCATGCTGGTCTTCTGTACTCGACACAGCGTCACGTTATCGGCCATGTTACCATTACCTGCCATTTTTTATTGCTGAAAGTTTTATTCTAGTTTTAATCTTATTATTCATGTTATATATAGCACATTAGCACCAAAGCAAGTTCCTAGTTTGTGAATTGTTTGTTCACTGACAATGGCAATAAACCTTTTCTGATTCTGATTTTTTCACCGATTTGGCCAAATCAGAAGTCAGCTGGAAACTGAATTACTCTTTTATTAAAACCAGTTGTTTACAAATTTGGCAAATCAGGATTTGACACGTTTGAGGGCTTTACCAAATACCTTAGAAGTCACTCCTTCCTTCAGATACAAAGATGGTTAACTCTTAGTGTGAATGAGAATGATTTAAACATTTATGTGAAATGGATGTTAATAATTATCTTATTATAATGTGTATGAGTACTGATAGATTAACTTGTTAAATCAGCACATACTGATCTGGTGAAGATAAGATCTGAAATGAATCATTGCAGGAACAATATTCATTTTAACGCCATCATTGATTAAAGCACAGATTAGTCAAACATTTGATTTAAACTTCTTGTTCAACACATTTGATTATTTCAACCTATAAGTTGTAAAGTCACTTATGAACTTCAAGGAAGATTGAACTTTATTCAGAGTGAGATGGTGCAGGAGTCTGGCCTCTGCATGAGGCCTTGGCTGAGAATGTTGTCTTCTTGTACGGTAACAAGGACTGGGGCAGAGTTCTTTGGATTTGGAGGCCAATCAGGTCTAGTGGTACTTGGTAATATTACAATGCATTAAAATGCTTCACACGTTGTCTGTGGATGATGTCACTGCAGGCAAAAGTGCATCAAATCTGATTTTTCCTGAAGAGCACAGATCAGATTTTTTCCCCAAAGCCGACCCAGGTCACTTTCATTTATGATACGTAATCCATTTTTGAAAGTGATTGCAGTCTAAACGGTCATGTCTCATTACATCAGCCTCCTACGTGACTGATCAGCGGGGGGGAGAGTGATGTGTTGATGTTCCTATGGAGAAGCGCTAAGGGGTGTGATCCTGAAATTGTGGATCAACTCTGTCAACAAGATATTTTCACATCAAAACTCCACACAGACACATGGACCAAACTAAAACAACCCACAAATCACCGTGAGGTTCGGCAGCTTTTATTTTGAAAGTGACACAGAAAAAGAACCAGTCACGTGACTCAGGCAAACAGCTTCGTTTGTGATCAGTCACGTGGTTTTCGGCGAAGCGGGGCTTCATGGACACGCCTTCTTGCTGCCTCGAACATAGATATGTATATAAACACTAGATAACTCGACCCTGCTGTTCGCCAATGGGATGCGACGTAGGAACGTGGCGGCCATCTTACCTCAGACGGCTGCCCCCTTTCTTGACATTGGGGTATATACATCGACATACATATATGGACAATGGGTTTCCATAGGCTCCAATAACACGTTTTTGAAGAGAAATGGGAGGTGGACACCACCGCCATTTTGACCGTGTCACAGGTTCCGTCAAGCCCAGACAATTCCACAAAAGGGAAGAGAGGTGGAGCTGAGGGTGGGGCTGTAAGGCTGGGATCAACTGACGACACCCGGTCGAACTAGCTACAAGCTAACCTGAAGCTAACCCGAAGCTAACGCGGAGGTGGGAGCTAAGCTAATGGAGGTAGCAACCTAGCTACAACCGGAGTTAACTGTGCACAACACCAGAGCTTCTGAGTCAGAGATACACCGGGCTGACCGCTGGGTAAAACCGGGTGGAACACAGAGGTCTCCCGAGAGCTCCACAAGCCGGCAGCCGCACAGCAGACAAGCGTCGCTGCGATGTGAGATGCGCAGAGCTGCCGCTGGGGAGAACCGGGTGGAAAGGTTTCCATCCTAGAGCTCCACAAGCCGGCAGCCCGCGCAGCAGACAGAAGCCACGATCAGACAGATGCGCCGAGCTGCGGGGAGGGGAGAAACGGGTGGAAAACATTGGTCTCCCGAGAGCTCCACAAGCCGATAGTCGGAACCCAGCTCCACCAACATATTATATTTCAACCCATTTTCTAAAATGCAGCATTATGTTAAATGCACTGGGTTTTACCCTATTACATTTAAATTTCATGGTTAAACAATACATGTTAAAATCTAAGCTCAGCTCGGCAGTGACCTAAAATACATAAATATAATTTTACTTACCGAAAAAAATTAAGTGGAGACTCCTTGGACACTCTATTAGTGCAATTAATGCCACAGCAAGTCATTTTGTCCAACAATTGCACAAATAATATCCAAAAAAGAACGCACAAACGGCACAACTAATGGTCTAAGTTGAGAGACTGAAAATGTTGGAACAGTTTTTAGGCAAGGCCGAGGTTCAGGCCTTTCCACGGAGCTAGCTCTGCGGTCACGTGGGTCTGATGCTCATTAATTATACAGAATTTTAGGCTTTTAATACACTTAAACAGAAGAGTGGGGAAAAATCACCCCCCTCAGAGTTGTCATGAGTATAAACTAAATCATTTAAACCATAAACATGTTTTGGTACCAGGCTGTAAACAGGTTTATTTCTGCTGTGAAATTGGTATTTTTAACATGGGAGTCAATGAGGATTTGCTCGCTTCTGACACCAGCCCCCAGCGGATGAGGGTGGAACTGCAATTTATTTCACTTCCGCGTTTGCCTTTTGACCCGCATTGTGCGGGCTTGCTACTGCTGCAGAAATCTTCTCACCAGGCTGTGGAAACTTTCTTCTCCTGCTCAACAATTTGGTGGAGTTCTATCCAGAACCAGAGAAGATATTCTGCGGTCTTCATGACAATCGGAGCTCCAAAAGCAGGTGATGGGTCAGAAAAGATTTTCTCTAGACTTCCTGCCCTCTGGATCTGCTGCTGTTCCTTTGGCCTCTGAGAAACGCGCTCGTTTTGCTGCTTTCATCAGACTGGAGAGGTTCCCTCTATCTGATTCGGTCATCTGAGTTGGTCATGATGCAGGACCGCTGCTCGCTCTCTGATCCATCCTGCTCACACACTCTCCGAGAGAAGCCCCGAATCTGAATGTGACTCTGGAGGAAAAAGCGGTTAGCTCTACTCCGTGCACTCTGGTGACCAAAGGTCCTCTTTTCCAGACTGGATCTGTCCTCAGCTGATCAGAACCAAAGCTTTGGATCTTTAATCTCATGAGTTGTTCTGAAGCAGCATCTTAATCAGCTCTCCTGCTTTGTTTCTACTGCAGAATAAAAAGATCGCCGGACGGAATAAATGTTTTGGTTCCGTGTTTCAAGCCGTGAATAGTTTTGTAAAGGACATATTTCCGGTTTAACCATCGGGTTTAAGTGTTGGGTGTGACGGGTGTAAAATTAAGTAATAAAAGACGAATATTTAGGTTATATTCGTGCTCATTAGTATGTTTACATGTTTGGTAGTCCGTCAGCCGCATTTGTTATTCTTTAGCGCGTTTTGATAGTGTTTAATGATTGCTGTTAGCTGCTAATGCTAAAGCTAGCCCTATGAGCACAGTTGTTGTGCCAAAAATCGTCTGGCTGCCAAAAAATGAGTAGCCACCGCGACCGCGGTCAAGTGAGCCGTCATTTGTGAGCCGCGGTCAAGCCAGCCGCATTTTATCCGCCGCGAAAATTTCATTGCGCGTTTACAACGGTCTTTACGGTAGCACATTTTGCAAGGGAACTGCCCAACCCGTGACAGTCTGGTTGCATATTCAAAAATTCATAAAAAAATCATCCTTCATAGCTGATGTACAACTTTCACCACATCCCTACTCTGGGACACCTACTGTACCTGTGTGCCACATTTCAGACAGATTTACTGTAGAAATCCTCAGATATTAAAGCAAACTTGTATTCAGTCCACACTCGTGACAGTCTGGTTGCATATTCAAAAATTCATAAAAAAAATCATCCTTCATAGCTGATGTACAACTTTCACCACATCCCTACTCTGGGACACCTACTGTACCTGTGTGCCACATTTCAGACAGATTTACTGTAGAAATCCTCAGATATTAAAGCAAACTTGTATTCAGTCCACACTCGTGACAGTCTGGTTAAATATTCAAAAATTCATAAAAAAAATCATCCTTCATAGCTGATGTACAACTTTCACCACATCCCTACTCTGGGACACCTACTGTACCTGTGTGCCACATTTCAGACAGATTTACTGTAGAAATCCTCAGATATTAAAGCAAACTTGTATTCAGTCCACACTCGTGACAGTCTGGTTGCATATTCAAAAATTCATAAAAAAATCATCCTTCATAGCTGATGTACAACTTTCACCACATCCCTACTCTGGGACACCTACTGTACCTGTGTGCCACATTTCAGACAGATTTACTGTAGAAATCCTCAGATATTAAAGCAAACTTGTATGCAGTCCACACTCGTGACAGTCTGGTTGCATATTCAAGGGTGCCATTTAACATTATTTATTTTTTAGTATCAAGGCTGTAACATAAAGAAAGCCAGTTCTTACCACAAACCATCATTCAATCGCAAATATTGCAAAAAGGATTAATATATATCCTCATTGTGAACGTTTAAGACAAATAGCAACACTTAAAACAACTTCCGAACTGGAAAAAGTAATATCCGCGATAAACATCTGTTTAAGTACCGGAAGAGGCTATCTCTGCTTTCTCAATGTCCATATTGCTAGATATGCTGAGTTTTAAGGCGAAATCCTGAGGAATTTAGTCTAGAAATGCAATTACCAGTACCCTAACCGTGCGCGATCCCGCGGTGGCTACTCATTTTTTGGCAGCCAGTCGATTTTTGGCACAACACCGGAACACACGCGCTAAGCTACTAACATACCTTCAGTTCCATGAGTATCGGTTTATATTTATGTTTAGTTAGCAGTGTGTTCCGGTTATGTATGTAGTTGTATTATTTTAACTCATGGCAGTCTCTTTGTTTCTTCCCAGAAACCACATCTACACACATGTATCTAGCTCCAGTTACATGAGTCTGCTGTTCAAGTTCAACTTTAATGAACTCACTGAGAATAATTCTAGTTTCCCTGGTTCTCTGACCGGAACCTACCGTCCGTATTGACCGCCTGAACCAGTCTGTTTTCCTTTGAGTGTAGTGCTACTCCAGTCTTACTCAGTTCGCCTGCTTTGTTTCTATTGCAGCTGTTAGCTAAACACAGCTAAAGAAAACCTGCTTCCACTTCAGGATCATCAATCAGCTGGGGCTGATTCATCGTGTTTACTTCACCATCTGGATCTGGACAGCATGGATACAGGTACTGGTGTGAGAGTGAGTGAGTGTCTGACTGCTGCACTAAGCCGTGTTCCCATGTTGAGAGAGCTGTTCACACTTCTGGATGTCCTGATTTTGGTTTATGGGCCAAGCTGGTATTATAGTATTTTTTTTGTTGGGTTTTTCTCTCGGACACCGGATCTGTGACAACACCATGTCACCATGATGGGTGGAGATGCTGGTTGGTTGTGCTCAGGTGGTGGGGTCATTTAATGTCTTAAAGGGCGCCACACAGAGTTTACACTCACACCCAGGCCTTTTGAAAGTTTTCATGTGAATGTTGGTGACACCTTGCTGCTTGCTGCCTTAAGTGAGGAGGTAATGTTTGTATGTAAATGTATTGTCTCTTCGAACTGTTTTAACAGCCAACGTGGAGCAAAGATGTGAATGAAACCTACCTTTGTGTCGTCCCTGACTCCTCCACAGTCTTACTGTGCAGATAAAAACTGAATTTGTGTCTTATTTTCTATTGACAACTCAAACTACTGCCATCCTCCTCCACAGCCTCGTCAGATCCAGGATCAATTATTGCAACTCTTTGGTTTCCCCAACAAGTCCCTCCATAGACTGCAGTTTCTATAAAATGCTGCAGCACGTGTCATCACTAGGACTCCAATATGTAGACACTTTCCTCATTATATTTATGCTAAAATGTCCTTAATAACATCAGTTGACGTACAGAATTTATTAAGCTGAAATTGTTCAACCTTAACTTTGTACACTGCTGAGTGTGAAAGTCAGACATCTAAATAAAGTCAGGGGTGGACCTTTAAAGCACCCGAGCGCCAATGGCGCTAAATTTTCTCGTCGGGCGGTAAATACTTGACAGCTTACCGCCCGGGTGGCGCCCAAGCCTTGTTTGCCATTTACACACTGGCTTTCACCTGCATCATGGCCGCGCCCTGTAGGAAGCCGCCGTTTTCATTTCGCGCGCGTGAACCTGCGCGCCTCTAGCCACGTACTGCACTTGTACGATTCGTGCACGTACTGCACGATTCTAGTTATAGTCACGTGAACTATAAGTTCACTATTAAAGATGAAGTGGAACCACGCTAGAAACACACAAGCACGCAGGAAGATCGCGCCACCACAGGGATGGGATTTCTTGATGAAATCTCCGGCAAAACGCTTTAAAACTGGTGAGGACTTGCACAATCGATGGCTGACTAAATACTTTTTTGCCCCACTGTATGGGAAGAACTTTCTGAAGAATATTTGATTTCTACTGTAGAAAGAATGCCGCAAGTGTGTTCAGCTGTTAAATCTGCCAAAGGTGGCTACTTTGATGAGTCAACAGTTTAGAATACAATTTGGTCTATAAATCGAGTCCATGATTTATTTTCCTAAAATCGTTCAGCCCTACAGTGGTTATTAATTCACATCATGTGTTTCTGTTTTCCAAAGATGTTCACCAGATGGTTAAAGAAGAATCTCCTGAAGATCAGAGTGCTGGTGTGGACCTGCGGGACCCAGAACAGTTCCACATAAAGGAGGAACAAGAGAAACTCTGGACCAGTCTGGAAGGAGAGCAGCTCCATTTGAAGGAGGAGACTAATCCTGCCAGGTTTCCATTCACACCAGTTTCTATAAAAAGTGAGGACAATGAAGACAAACTTATGTTCTCACAGCTTCTTCATCAGCAGCAAATAGAAGACAGAGATGTTCCAACCAGCAGCTCAGCTGACCAGACAACAACAGAAACTGGTAGAAAAGCAGAATCTAGCAGGAACCCAGTTCTGAACCCTAATGAACAGATATCTGATTCTTCAGAGACTGAAGTTAGTGAAGATGATGTGAATCTAAATGTTGAGTTATTAGACACTGGGCCTGAAACTGGAGGTGACAACAATAAGAGCGGGTCTTCTGAGTCAGATGTTGATACTGTCAAAAAATCCTTTAGCTGCCCTGAGTGTGGTAAACAGTTTCTCCACATGTGGACTCTCCAGAGACATGTGAGAGCGACGAGTCATTCAGCAATAAGGTCTTCAGGCTGTTTGGTTAATAAGAAAAATGTAAGAGTGAAGCAACATGTGGACTCATGCAGGAAAGTCCAGAAAGAACCAAACTCATTTAGTTGTGACATTTGTAGAAAAATATTTATTAATAATAAAAGTTTAAACAATCACAAGAAAGTTCACACAGGACAGAGCCCTTTTGCCTGTGAGCTCTGTGGGAAAATATTTAGTAATAAGTCGACATTAAACAGACACATGAAAGTCCACACAGGACAAAAATCCTTTGTGTGTGAGATCTGTGAACAAAGATTTAGTCTTAGGTCAATTTTAAACAATCATATGAGAGTCCACACAGGACAGAAACCTTTTGCGTGTGAGCTCTGTGGAAAAAGGTTTAATCAAAGTGCACATTTGAACAATCACATGAGAATCCACACAGGACAGAAACCCTTTGCTTGTGAGCTATGTGAACAAAGATTTAGTCATAAGTCAACATTAAACACTCACATGAGAGTGCACTCAGGAAAGACATCTTTTGTGTGTGAGTTGTGTGGGAAAGGATTTAGTTATAAGTCAAAATTACACACTCACATGGAAGTCCACACAGGACAGAAATCTTTTGTGTGTGAGTTCTGTAAGAAAGGATTTAGTAATAAGTCAACATTTCACACTCACATGAGAGTCCACACAGGACAGAAACCTTTTGTGTGTGAGTTCTGTGGGAAAGGATTTAGTAATAAGTCAACATTAAACGGTCACATAAGAGTTCACACAAGACAGAAACCCTTTGCATGTGAGCTCTGTGAACAAAGATTTAGTCATAGGTCAGCTTTATACAATCATATGAGAGTCCACACAGGACAGAAACCCTTTGCATGTGAGCTATGTGAACAAAGATTTAGTAATAGGTCAACTTTAAACAATCACATGAGAATCCACACAGGAGATAAACCCTTTGCATGTGAGCTCTGTGAACAAAGATTTAGTCGTAAGTCAACATTAAAGAGTCACATAGGAGTCCACACAGGACAGAAACCCTTTGCCTGTGAGCTATGTGAACAAAGATTTAGGCGTAAGTCAACATTAAATGTTCACATGAGAGTCCACACAGGACAGAAACCCTTTGTGTGTTAACTCTGTGGGAAAACCTTTGAACAAATAACATATTTAAACAGACACATGAGAGCAGAGTTGGAAAGAGTTCTAATTTTTTTTTACTTATGCATGAGTAACAACTAGTCACTTAACAATTAGTAACTACTGGTTTGCCCTCCTTCCCGATCTCTGTTAGTTTTAAGTATGGCCCATTGACATAAAAATATGGACATAGCCCGCTCTATGCTCCGCTGGGGGGCAAGTTGAAGCCAAAAATGGGAGGTTCTAATGACTGATTATTTTGACTGAGTCACGTCTAGGCAATCCAAAAAATCGGAAAAGAGGTAGAGCTGAGGGTGGGATGGAACAAATATAAACCAATGTAGCTACCGAAGCTAACAGAGTTTTCCCGGGCGTTTTTAGCATTACCGCGTTTTTCTTGGTAAAAATGTCTGAAAAAACTTTGTTAGCTTCGGGCTAGCATGTAGGTAATGTCCCGCTGATCTCCAATCGTGGTGAATGAGCTGATCAGAAAGGCCAGGGCTCCCAGTCAAGTTATTTGGAATCGTATTATGTCCAAGGAAGGCCCCGTCTTTCTCGCATCTGATTATTATAGCACTAAGTTCACATTTTCTTTATAAAACTCCCCAAACAGCATTCTGTCTGTGGTGATGGCAGGATAACAGTCTGCACTTGGCATGGAAAGATGGATTGCCGCTAAATGAAATAGCCAATATTGGTTACACGCAAGAAAGACGGGATCTTCCTTGGACGTACTATGATTCCAAATGATGCTTACTGGTTGCAGCGGTCTGGCTCAACACGTTATATTTGAACTGATTTCAACCCTGTCCACGCGTCGGCTGCCACTGGAAAATGGGAACAGCCAGCCGCCTGCTCTACCAATTCGTTCTTATCCAGCCAGCAAGGCCGGGACAGATTACAACACCTCATGCAAATGTATTGGCTCAAGACGATCAACAGAGGGTGCTCTAGGTTACTAATCGACAGTTTTAGATGCAGTAGAAGAAGACGCTTTGGTACAGTAGCTTGCTAAAATGATATCAGAGCTTGGTTTAGCAAACAGAAAAACAATGCTAGCACAAGCAGGGATGACACATCGTCAAAAAGGCAAGTGCAGCCAGAAGTTGCAGCTACAAGTGCTTCTGTTCCTTCTGTCTCCGTGCCTCCAGCACAGTCTCAGCAGGCAATTGCGCCACCGAGTGGCAGCAGCACCAACATAAATCGCTGTTCAGATGACCTCGGGGGGTGGATAAGCCTAATCAGGTGTGCCTGGAAAATTATCCAGTTCGACTTTTACCTGCAAAAAAACGCAGTTTTTCTTCATCATGGTACCAAAATAGAACATGGTTGGAGTATTCAGTGAAAACAGATGCAGCATACTGTTTCCCCTGCAGACAGTTTAGTTCTCATTCCTCATCATCCGACTCAACATTCAAAGAATCATGCTTGCATGATTGGAAGATTGGAAGCATGCAATAGAAAAAGATAAAGGACTGAACAAGCATGCATCATCAAAAGACCACATATTGTGTGAGCAACTTTGGAGAGAGAAAAGAATGTGCATTGAGACTGATTCTGAAATCACAACCCTGGTGCACAAAGATCAACTGGCCCACAACAGATATTATGTAAGCTCAATCATTGACATTGTAACTTTTCTTGCTATCAATCATCTGCCTTTCAGAGGAGACACTGATGCATGGGATTCAGCAGGACAGACTGGTAGTGGCTTATTCTTATCATTGTTTGAGTTTACTCTGGAAAAATACCCACATTTGGCTAAAATAATTCCTGCCATCCCAAGGAATGCAACATACACAAGCCACGAGATTCAGTATGTAATTATAGAACTAATGAGTCGACAGGTGACTGAGCATATTGTTGAGGAAATAGGGAACACACAGTCAAAATGGATGGAACCAGAGATCCAACAGGATGTGAAAATCTCTATTGTCTTGCGCTTTCTTGATGAAACGTATGCTATAAAGGAGAGACTGCTGACTATTGCTACATCAGACGCAGGTGATGCTAAAACTCTCACACAGACACTGATCTCAGAAATAAGAAAAGCTGGCCTGACAACAGACAAAATAATCAGCCAGGTGTATGATGGAGCCTCTCTGATGTCAGGAAAACTGGGTGGGGTTCAAGCTCTCCTGCAAGATGAACTTGGCAGAGAAATCCCATACGTGCACTGCTTTAATCACCAGCTTCACCTGGTAATAGTTCTTGTCATGTCTGCTGAGAGAGCTATAGAAGATCTAGTCAGTGTCTGCAATGCCCTGTACAAGTTCACAAGAAAGCCCACTGTTGCAGCTAGATATAAGGGAAACACACTGAAGCGTTTACTGGAACAGCGCTGGGCAGGACACCTGGCTACAGTAGAAGTCATTCTGAAATCTTTTCAGGAGATTCTTGAAGTGCTGGATCATGTTGAAAACACACCTTCATTCCCAGCAGACACAAGGATGGAGGCAGCAGGGCTGCGCAGCGCTGTGTCCAAACCAAGCTTCTGCTTCCATGCTCTTGTTGTGCAGAAGATTCTGGCCATTCTTGAGCCACCCAACAGGATGCTACAGTCAGAAGAAATGGATCTCCAAACAGCTGTCCAGCTTGTGAACAGTGCCAGGGAGTGCATTTTGGCCCTGCGCACTGAGGAAGTCTTCATGGAGTTGTGGAAGGAGTGTTGTGGAACGGAGGCCAATGACACAGCCAGCCATCAGAGTAAGAGAAAGTGCAGTGTCAACGGAAACCTAAACGATTACATTTTGGAGCAGACATCAGGAGCACGACCACAGGAAAACCAGATCAAAGAACAACAGCGATTGTTTTACAGCTGCATTGATGCTGTTGCAGGTGAAATTGTGCACCGTTTTGGAGAGCGAAACAGCAAATTGATAGAAAGTATGGTTTCTCTTAATCCAAAAAGTACCTCCTTCCTGGACCCTGAAAGAATTAAACCTCGGCTTGTTCTAACAGGAACCACAGTAAATGAAGCTGAGTTTGTGGTTGCCTGTCAACGCATTCTAAAACACACAGAAACCTTTTCACCGCCAAATGAAGGGAAATGGACAATAAAAACAGTGCTTCATCATTTTCACAGCAGCCTGGAAGCAATGCCTAGTGTCATCACTGCATATAAGGCAGCACTGACCCTAGGAGCCTCTACAGCCTTGTGTGAGAATAGTTTTTCCACTTTGAAAAATGTGTTCAGCGAGCACAGAAGAAGCATGTTACACACCCGGAAAGCTTGTTTAATCCAACTTGCCTTTGAGAAGGATCTGACCAGGAAATGCAAGACAGAATGGAAGGACAGATTATTGAGGAGATTTCATTCATCAGGAAAACGCAGACTGCAGCTGTATTACACCTAAACAGGCCGGTAACCCCAGAGGTGTTTTTACTCAAAACCCCAAAAAGATGCTGCAAATGAACACATGCAATGCATTCTCACCACAGAGAAGCTGAAAATCCCACATTTGAGTTCCACCGTGTTTTATTAAGAAATTCAATAGAGCATGTTTTCAAGTTTGAGCAAAAAGGGTGTTGGTGTGTTAAAATAATTAGTATTTTTTTCAAAAACATTGTTTTTTCAGTAGATATCCATGTAAAGCTGCTCTCAAGTTTCTGGAATAAATTTGTTTTAAACACAACATTTGTTACACATACTATAGTTTAACACAGTGTTGATTTGTGTTATGGCTCAGAGCCATTTGGGTTTTTCCCTGTGTGTGTGTGTGTGTTTGAGAGAGGAGATGCAGCACCTGGCTCCAATCTCACTAGATTGCCTCCCGGTTAGATTCTCTCAGCTGATCCTGATGACCAGCAGCATAAAAGTCAGCCAGCCCTCAGTTCAGGGAGCGGCAGGCCAGGGAGGTTCTCTTTGGTCTGTTGTCTCCTCAGCAGCTTTTGGTTTTGTTAAGTTTTATGTAACAACTTTGGTGGGAGCTTAAAATTCTGTGTTTAACCGTTCGCCTTTTTAGGGGTAAAGGGCGCTTTACCCCTTCGCTTGCTTTTATTAAGACATCACTTGGAAATTAGAAAATTATGTGATGGTCTTTCGTGGTTTTTGTATTAATTTGGTTAATATGAGAGTTTAGTTGTTACTCGTTTTGCGTTGCTGCTGATGTGTCTTGTTAATCTGTGTTTTGTGTTTATATTTATGTAAATACATGTTGTTTTGTTACTTTTAACACGAGAACATGCGTCCTCAATTGTTACCCCAGGCCCCCTAGACAGCCTGGATCGTAACATTTGCTTCTAAGACCTTTGGCATTATTATAATTTTGTGTACGTGAACAACCAGGTTATTTCATTTCAAAGGTCACATAAAAGTTCATTGATGTGCTTAGATAAAAAAAAAACTCCAATGTTTGACTAAAATGTTTTAAGAAGCACATTAAAGTTGAAACTCTTTGTTACCATTTTGAATTCAGGGGTGTCTGCTGTCCTTTTGATTCAAATGTTTTAAAATGCATATTAAAGTTGAAACTGTTTTTGAACCATCTTAAATACAGGGTTGTCTGTTCTCTTTTTAGAAAGAAAACACTCTAGATTTTCTAAATTTTGTTTAGAAGTCCTACTTTACACTTACCAGCTGGTAGCTGTAACGCACCAAGTCAATGTTTACCAAGAAGAAGAAGCACGCAGCCAAGAGTAGCATGTTAACCTGATGCTAACTAGTATTCGTGATGTAAACATTATGAGAAATATGTGCAAAAAGAAGAATTTACTAAGGTATCAAGCTGCAGGGCAGGATTTGGAAGAAGACTTGAGGACTAAGTACTTTATTGGAGAACATTAACTGGACGTAAGGATTGTTTTGAGATGGTGACTCTGTGGTGCGCAGCTAAGAACGGTGAGTTGCAAGTATTGGTTCAGTAAAATTGGTTACTTTACCTTAAGTTTTGATTGTATCTTTAATTGGAATACATAATCGGAATGAAACAATGAAGAATCTTAGCTTTTCAGTTAGTTATGTAGAACAAGTTGGTGACGCAAAACGGTGGATTTGACCCGGAAGTATATGTATGTAACGTCCACCGGACAGATTATAAACATGCAAAGGGGTTGATAAAAACACGGTTTACTGGGCCCCCCTAGAAAAACCTACTGCCTCTCCAGGTGAAGTCCTCTGGCGCCGGGTTTGCAGCAGCCCCACTAACAAGTTTGACCATGTAGGTAAATGACACAGCATTTCCTCCCATTCAACCAGTGAAATAAGGACAGAAATATAAATTTACTTACTGATAAAAAGAAGCAGAAACTGCTTGGATGGTCTGTTGGTAACCACAGCTTGCCCTTTTGTCCAACTAAACTCATGATTAACATCCAAACACAGACAAAAATAAAGTTCAGATGGCCGAACCCCTATTAACGTAAGGCTGAGGCCCAGCCTTTCTTAAGCATTTAATACACTTAGAAGAAGTAACAAAAAAGCTCTGCACTATAGACATGAATACGTGGACCCCCCATTGGGCGCTGAAGAGCATCTCCGCCGTATTGGATGGGTCTCCTCACTCTCCACAGTTAATGCAGAGTGAGCAACTATGCTCGTTTCTGCACAGCCTACGGATACAACAACCGGCGTACTATTGAAATCAGATCACATGGGATTATAACTGACAACTAATCAAAAGTCCCAAATTCAGTAACTATGAAAATTAGAGCATCAATTAAAAAAATAAAATAAAAAGATATTTAGAAATGTTGACCTATTGAAGGTGCAGCAGTGTGGTGTGGCGTTCTGAACTGTTGAAGTGTAATCCATCATTCAGGCATTGAGTGGGTTCTGCTGTCCTCAGCACTTTAATAGGTGCAAAACAAACAGAACTGACCTATTAAAGTGCTGAGGACCAGTTTGCTCCAGCCATACTTAATCCTCCTCATTTGATGTCCCATGGGCTGTCAGAGCACCTGATGTCCTCTGGATGATGCGTGGCGTGCTCTTCTATTACTGGGTTCTGCTATCCTTTTAGGTAAAGTAGCTGTTTCAGCTTGTTACAGCTTACAATGTTTGTTTTACTTCTTTTTATGTGACTTTTCTGTTATTTAGTTTCATGAGACGTTTCACATAGATTAACGTTGACTTTGCTACTAAGTGTTGGTTCTAGATCTTAGCAACGATCTTTACACTTCCTGCTTTGCTTCTTCTTATTGTCATCAGAATTAAAAGCTTGAATCCAGGACTGTTTTCTCATTGTGTGATAAGTCTCTAATAAAATCCCACAACACTGCACCTGCTGTCTTCCACTGCACACTCACCTACTCAGCTCGGTGACTACCTCTGTTGGCTCTCAGGTGGATTAGTGGAGGATCAGCTTGGAGAGACTATTCCAACTCTGGACTTTCACACAGAACACCAACAAAAGTTCATCAGGAGCAGCTTGGAGGTGTGTGAACAGCTGTTAGGAAACTGGGACAGTTTATCAAAGTCAAAGTTGTGACTGCTGAGATGTTTTCCTGCATTAGTTTCTTCACTTCCTGCTGAAGCTCAACTTGTTTCATAAAGTGGTTCTGCTTTGGTGTGAAAAGGCGGAACATCCCATAATTTAGAGGCAATGGCTGAAAAGGCTCCATCAGCTGTTTCTTTTGATGGTGGGGACATCCAGAAGCAGCTGAGATGCTGACCTCAGCGCTCTGACTGAATCATGCTGTTAATCAGACACATTTCATTTCCTTGAAGAGTCTGAAACCTCCTGAAATGAATGATGAAACTAACAGGAAGCCAGTGTAAAGAGGCCATACAGGAGTGATGCTATGGTGCTGTCTCCTACCTGTCTACATCTGCAGGTGATGGAGATCTGACTGATTTAAAGCAGAGTCAAGAACGCTGCAGTCATCTAACCCAGAATCCAACAGGACAACCACTTCTGTGAAGTCTGAATTATAGAAAGCTTTTTTAGTTGATGCTGCTTTACTTATGAATCATTCAGCCGCATTTTTTCGCACTAATACTTTGCTGGTTGAATTCTATGTGTTTACCACGACACTGTAGTGAAATGAACTTTGACACCACCTTTGATGCATAATGGTCACTACAGTGGACAGGTACTCAAAATTGTTATTTATTTATTCATTTATTTATTTACTTTTTGCTATTAAGCACAGCTGTTGAAGATGTTACGTCCCCGACGTGATGGTAAAATGTGAAGGATGGGGATAACAGAAGAACTGGACAGTGGATATTAAAAGGGTTTTATTGTTATAAAAAGATTCTAAAACAAGGCAAACAGACGACAGGCGTTATAAAAATAATGCAACACACTCAAACTTTCAAAAAGGTTATCATTAAACGACAAATTATCAACTATAAAAACACCTGGTTAAAACTGTTAAAAGCTTAACCGCACGAAGGCGTTCTAAAAGCACAGCGAAGTTGATAAAAGTCTCTAAAACAATTTACTGACATAAACACCTAGTTAAAACTTATAAGTTTTACCAAACAAAGCTGTTTAAAAACGAAGTCAATAAAATTGCAACAAACGAAGTTAACCTTAAAAACCAACGAACACAAGATCCCACAGGATCACTCAAGAGTTTAAACTATAAAAGTTAAACTCATCAAAATGAAGGAACGAACGAAGGGGTTAAAACAAAACGAAGAATGGAGAACAGCAGAACCCCCTGCACTGCTGTCTCCCAGGCCCTGTCCACACGTAGCCGGGGATCTGGCAAAACGTAGATATTTTTCTACGTTTTGGCCTGTCATCCACACGAAAACGGAGTTTTTTCACATGAAAACGGATCTTTTTTAAAACTCCGGCCAAAGCGAAGATCTGCGTTTTCTCCGTTTTGGGTGTCTGCGTGTGGACAGACAAAACCGGAGTTTTAAGGTCCGCAACGTCACTTTCCGCGACAAAATAAATGCTGACATCACGTGTGCGACCTGTGTTTACACTAGCCGACAGCATGGATGCCCTCAGAGCTGCGCTCGCTATCAATTGTCCAAGCGCTTTTTGCTTGTTTGTTTTTGCGAGCGGAATTACTGCTCCTTGCGGAAGACCACAGACGAAGGACGAGGTTAAGAATGGGGGAAGTACTGCCGCCTACAGGTCTGGCATGTCCTTAACAACATATTTATCTGGGTATGTGTGGACAGAGTTTTTTCTTAAAACGAGGTGGTGTGGATGCAAGTTTTTGGAGGGGCAGATATTTGTTTAAAAAAAAAACCGGCTACATGTGGACTAGGCCTTAGTGAAGCAGATTGATCATTCTTGCTGTGTGGTTGGTTGATCAACCCATGGGAGAGGCTTGATAAAAAGTTTAATTGGAATTTCCTCTGTAAACAACCGCGAAAGAGATGATGGGAAAAGACCCGGGCACTCCGAAGAAAGCCTGCCCTCCTGCAGCAACGGACAGTTATTGAGGCTCATTTTGCTAACGGTAAGTCCTTGTGACTAAGTAATTGTTAATTAGAGAAGATGTGTTTAAAAACATTTATCGTTGAGTCATGTTGTTAGAGTCAGCTAACTGCTGCTGTAAGCATGACCACTGCTTTGTGTTTTCAGATCGGCTCAACTTTCCTTAAAACAAAATAATCATAGGCCTCCAGATGTTTGAAAGCCGTGGCGTGAAGGCTCCAGGAATAAATGTCTCCGTCCCCAGTAAATCTGAGAGAGATTTTTTTTAAAACGGCAAATCGGACTGACGTTTTCCGTCATCTCAGAGCTCACACGGGCTTTTAATAACTTTATTTTTGTCCTAAGTACAGATATTAAGCTTCTCTCTAAACCTCCTGTCTTTAGATGCTAAAGTGTTCATATATTGAGGACTTATGACCTCCAGAGAAGTGGAGGAGGCAAGGAGGCTTATCTTGGAGAAAGTCCAGGTGCACCAGCTAATAGTTATAAAAACAGATCATGCACTCCTAAAATCGATAAGCCCACTAACTAGCATGAAGGAGAAGATTTACTGTTCCTCCCCAAGGCCGAGAGAGGAAGAAGAGGAGTAGAAGGAGGGGCAATGTTGGGCTAACGTCACCAGAGGCCAAGGAGAGACAAGAGGGGCAGACTCTGGACAGTCAGCAAAGCCTGCCGAAGAAGATGATGTAATCACAAGGAGAAGAGGAAACAAGTGACCAGACGTTAAGCTCCAGCAGCAGGATGGGGGTGTTGCCATGGCATGCCATGCCATGTCTTTATCTGGCTGCTGTTCCATCCCAAGATGAAGGACACTTCAAGATTTTAAAAATAATAATTTAATAAACTCTTAAACTGTTTTACTGTTTATTACAATCATCATAAATAATCATGTTCAGTATAAATGTATTTAATTACTGAAATGACTTATTATGCTTTGGTTAATAATAATTATTATTATTTATGATAATCAGTAATGTGTGTTCAGTAAACCAGAAGGTTATTTGAATGTTAACTACCTCATGCAGAGGCTGAATCCAGGGTAAAGGTTAACCACCTCACATGTCTTTACTCCATAACACCGAGCTTTCTGACGCTGAGCGGGCGTGTTCTGAGGTTTTGTTAAAACCAAATCTCTGCAGCTCAAAGTAT